AAAAAAAAAAAAAAAAAGAAAAAGAGAAAAATGATTACGATTAATCGAAAGCGGAAATCTTCAAAGTTGACTACGTATTTCCCATTTCCTTTAACGCTCTGACTTTGCAAGTAATTGCACACGAGATTAAGACTGTGAGAAAGCCAGAAAGAGACGACGAGCCGGGGAGAGCCAGGGAGAGCCAGGGAGGTTTCCTTTTAAGAACGACGGCGCGCCGAACGAGGAATTTATTTTAAATAAGGAATTGAAGTGGCGCCAAGTAGGCTGTAAGCTCTCGAGGTGTTGGCAGCCCGTGAAATCCAACCAACGAACGCTTCTTCAAGATCAAAAAAAAAAAATAACCAATAACTGTTGAATTACTCTACTTAAATTACTGTAATGAAATTACTCAGACTGTTCGCAAGTCATTTGGACATTTATTTATCTTGAACGTCTGTCATCTATCGTCTCTCGTGCTCTCTTGGCTCTCTCGAAAATATTACGCACGAGTCTCTTTGCCCTGTAATTAGTTCATCTCTACTAACAGTCGAAGGATTGATCGAGTTGCACGCGCGTTTTCCGCTTTGTTACTTCGCCCTATGTCGGAATTAACATGGTTTCTCTTGTTGGCGACGCAGGACGGAGAAGGAGAGAGCGCAAACTCCACCGTTTAATCCGGACTCGAAGGACTGCGGGATCCTGAGTTGCAGGCCGGCCTTTATACAAAGATTCGCTGGAATAAAGGTTGGTAAACGGTCACCTCGTTCCTGAGAGATCCTATCCGAGGCTGACACACAGATCTACACGCATGTGGCGGGGCACGTGACACAAGTCAACTGTCTTCTTTCTTAACTTTTAGTGTCTTCTCGACGAAACAGTGTTTTTTTTTTTTTCTTTTTTCCAACTGCTTTACAGTTTTAGTTGCAAACTGTAGCTATGTTATGCTTCAACGAAGTTTCACTGTTGCAAACAAACGAAACTGGTGAAGCTGTTTGATCGACTCGAGATCGACGGTGAAATTTATATATATTTATTGCCAACACTTACATCCGTGTACAGGTATGACACACGGATGTAAGTGACATGAATCACTGTTTCGAAAGGATACGACATTGAAACGCTGGCTGGAAGGCTTTTAATCGTCGCAAGGAACAGAACACAAGGTGACATCATTGTTTGACATGGTTTCACTATTTCTGCTTTCGCAGTAACGTCAGACGTTACCAGATTCTTTCTTATTAATAACTCCAGTGAGAACAGCTCTGGTTGAGAAGTTTGGCAAAAAGTCTATTTACTTTATTGATTTGTGTCTAGATGGTCATAGAAAAGCTTTAGAAATTCTTAGAGCTAACAGTTTACAAGATTATAATTTCAGATTAGATTACATTGAAGGATTATTAAAGGATTTTTTTCTTTTAATTCTATATTAATATACTATATAAATATACTATGCTGCTAATATTATTAATATACTATATACCATTGTACTATTAATACTATTAATATACTATTATACTATATACTATATATTAGTAATACTATTTCTTTTAATTCTATATAAATATACTATTAATACTATATAAATATACTATGCTGCTAATATTATTAATATACTATATATCATTGTACTATTAATACTATTAATATACTATTATACTATTAATATTATATATTAATAATATATATATATATCTATTAGTATAGATATACTATTAATTAATAGAATTAACAATTCTATATAAATATACTATATTCTATAAAGATACACTTTTAATTCTACACTATTGATCAAGTCAAAAATGTGAATTTTCTCCATTCCTGTCAAGGTAAAAGAAATTCAAAGGCATCTTCTATACACATGCTCCTGGTCGAGCACATTTTAGCTCTGATTCATTAAACATAGCATGGTCGATTATCAGCAAAACGTTTTATCCAGTTCCCATCATCGTTAATACAGCATTTTACCTTCGTTAGTTAAAATGCACTCAAGGGTATATTAACGGCGAAATCGATAAAAACTTCTGCTTATCTAATCAAGTTTCATCGTTCGATTCGACAGGCAGGATGTATGAAAGAATCGATGGTATCAAAAACATGTATCTGTTTTTTTGGCTAAAATATGGCCAC